TCTGGGGAGCAAAGTTCATCAGAACTCTAGGAGAAGAGATCTGGAGATGGCAACGTGAGAACTGGTTCGTGAAATAATTAAGTGAATATATCCTCATAAACATTTCAGGATGTTTAAGGTAAATAAGTACCTACCGCTGGGGTCTGAACTTGAAATTTTGGCAGCTTATGCTTTTTATGTTGTGAGCTTAAAAAAGGATTTTTTGGAAATCTTAACCGTAAGGGAGGAACGGTAATATGAAAGTTTGTTATTTACGAAGTTAAAAACACGAAATAAGAAAATTGCTACTTTCGAAACAAAACTGAAAATATACCCCAAAATGTAAACGTAAAAAAGGAACGTTGGTAAAACCACAGGAGACGCGTGCCCCAGCACGAGGGTCGCGGATTCGGTGTCGGGTTGCGCCAATCGGCTTACAAACGCCATGGGAGCAAACACCACACCATGCCGGATTAACACTAATGAGCAGTTTCGCTTGTTACGCCCGATATGGTGTGAGTATGGGATATTGTCTCTCCCTTTTTCTTCTGTGTCATTTTTGTGATACTGACAGAAATTGACAGAATATTTTAAAATCAGCTAATCTGTTCTATTGAATAGGAGACGGGTCATGGTAAGTGACTACCGCCGTTCTTGGACATGAACGAAAACAATGAAGGAATTTATTACCTCTGGTTTTCTGTAAGGCCGTGGTGTCAGTCTGATCGGCCCATATGTGCTGAAATATCGCTCTCCCATTAACAAGTTAAAAAATTGTTGTTTACTATGAACTCAATTGGAACTTGTAAAAAAATAGCTGGTTCTAGAGATTAAATCAAAACAGACTTGATAAATTCTCAGAAAAATTCTCAATCTTGTGAACATTCATTTTATAATGTTTGATCGTTTAAAACATGTAATTAAAATGTATCTGTGACCACATAACAATAAAGTGTCTTATAAAACCAAAAATAAATTATCTACAGACTCAATTTTATGAACCACCATTAACATCATCAAACTTTTTAATCATCACCGAATAATTAGTCCACGATAACTTTCATGGTAAAATACATAAAAATCTACCATGAAGTGTTAACTATCAGATTATTTATTATACTACTAATACAAATTTTATTGATATTAGTAAAAAAAACAACATTACATTATTATTCTAAATACCCGGAGAGCATAAATTGTAAGGAGGCGTTCGGTTTTATTGATCGAATTCGTCTCGATTTCTTGATTACAAGTAGGCACGCATCGGAATACTCATTTTAGATAAGAACAGACGGTTACTATATCGTGTTTTTTTGTTTTTGTATGTAGTGTCACGCAAATACAAATACATCAGGATTTATTGTCTATATGTACTTATTTGTATTTGTATATAAATATGTTTCAGTTAAAAGAATGGCGGTCGTAATTCATTCTTTAAAAATTGGTTTACTTAGTTTGGATGTGGTGTAAGTTTTTTGTTTAGATCAAAAATGAGTATACGATCTGATGATATGTGGGTAAATCTGGTTAAACTAATTAAGATACTATTTTACTAAAATCATGAATGATAGCAGTGATAATATGACATACAATACTGTATTTTTATATAACGCTTGTATTAATCGATAGATTTAAAGTTTCAACTTGGCTGGGCCACTACAGTGTACTAAAACTTCTCAGCTGCCTCTTATAAGGTCTGAGAAACTCGCTGAGTAGTAATGATGATAAATTATCAAAAATATCAAGAACTAAACTTGATTTAGATTATCTAAAATCATCGACTGTTTCAAATTAACAAATGTTATAACTAATGACACTAGAACGAATGAACGGATCTGTATAAAATTAGGCACAAAGATAGATTCTACTCCAAAGTAATACATCATAGATTGTATCACTATTAAGAATGTAGGATCTGCTAAAATCAGCAATTTTGTAGAATTGCTGATTTATGCTTAAAACTAAAGCTCTAAGATGGCTATTTCAAAAAAGATGAGGAAAAAGTGACTTTGTAAAAACAATGCTGTTTTAGGTAAATAGTAAAATAAAAGCAAAATCAAGAAAATTGCATATCCGACCTTGTTAATAGGGACAGGCGATATGTTAAATCCGAAGCCGAAATCGTTTAGAATGGCGTGCAATAGAAGAGGTCTATGTCCAGCAGTGGACTGCGATAGGCTGATGTTGCGATTGCTTGTACTTTTATTCTAGAAAATTTGTTTAACAAAATCAGGACGGAGTAGATTTACTAACTAGTATTATAGCTTCAAATATTATCTAATATCGGTGAAAGTATTAAATTGTAATTGATGAGGGTCCGTTAGACGCTTAAATATTGACGTGAAAATAAAGAAGCCAAAGATGCTAAATTAAAATACAAACACGTCAATTTAATTGGATAAAGTGAACGCAATCCAAAGTTGGGCTCTTGACTTTTCGCACGACTATCTGTTTATGTTTGCGCTCCACCATTTGGGGGTGTATTAGAGACATTAGGGGTAGTGTGTGTGTATGTGTGTGTGTGTGTATCGGGCAAGATGAATTAGGGGATTACAATACTGCATCATGCAACTGCACTCTGATTTTCTACGCTAATATATGTACAGGATGACGTAAAAAGTTTATTCAAAACAAAATTTGTAATCAGTTAGGACTAGATTGTCAACTACTGATAAATTGTTTGATCACACTTAAACGTACAAAAATTAAAGGATTCATAAAAAAACGTTTAAAAATTAATAAAACATTGTCGAACAAAACTTTTAAAACGTAATTTTGTAAATATAAATCTCAGTACACGTATAAAACAATTACACAGGCAATAATCCCGTTGTTTTTGTCAAAATGGTAACGTTTTATTGTGTCTTCTACACCCTATATCGCGATGGGGTGGCCGCGCAACGTCGAGGGGCGGCGGGTAATGGCCTAAGAGTAATTTTATTACTTTGCCCCTATTACCATCACAATGTGCATGCCACCGGTCGAATGAGATACGCACACTCGATACACTGTCGCGTTGCGCAGCGACACGCATTTTATCGATAACATGACAATATGACACGGCCCAACACTACTCTCTAACGGGAAGTACAGCTGTATTCACCAGCATTTTCTTTTTAAAACTCTAAATTCTACATCAGAGTATCGCTTAAAGCGAAGAATAAAAACGGCAAATACACTTTTGTATTATTAACGGCAACAAGAGTGGAAATAAGACGCTCGCTACGTACTGATTCGATTTGTTCCTGTAACGTTGAATATTTGATACGCCTCAGTGTACACTAATTTGTTTATCCTCTTCCCCGTGCCTGTTCTCCTGGTACCTGTAGTACAGAATCCAAAATTATCCACATATATAATTCAAAGATTTGATGCCAGTACTGTCTCGGAGTCGAACCCTTAAAGTTGTCTATAAGTTTGTAAAATTTTACAAAACGAACTATTTTTACTTTTTAAGAGACTTGAAAAAAAGAGGAGGCCGAATTTCGTTGCATTTTTACGATAGCTAAGAACACAGTAAATTTTTTTGGAAAATTCTTTTTCTTATTTGGGATGGGAGGGTATACACCCGTTTGATCCCAGTAAAACCTAAAGAAAATGTAAACCCCTAAGGATGAAAGATACGTTTTTAACAGTGAATTTATTTCAATCTTGGAATACAATTTTTTTTCACGCTGCGTCGAAACATTCACTTATTAATTAAAATGCAAAGGACAACAAATCTGTTTTTAATGTTTATGCTAATAAATTATAAACTAATAGATCTTGGCAACGATTATCGTGATGAGAATGTGACGTACCATGCATACAAGAAACCCACTAAGAAATAATTAATCGTACGCAGTACTAGGAGATAAGAATCGGCGGTGGTGTGTCAGGTGATTAAATAAATACAACTTGACATTTCTAATTAATATGCCAGACGCAGTTTGATAAGGCGCTCTCGTGTTCGTAAAGGACAACTCCTGCGTTCACTAACTGCCTGGTACCCGATTAACACGTTGTTATAATTATGTGAAATTTGTCTTCTGTGCGTGTATTCTTATCTACGAAACGAGTCGTTTCAAGACCAATTCTATGGATTAAAAATATTTTATGATCTTCTCCCTTTAATTTATTCCAACAATGATTAATGCGTGTAATAATTATAACAGCCATTATCATTACCTTAGGAAATTAAGTTTATTTATTAAGTCAACATTCTCAATTTAATTAATGTACGCAAGGTAGAATGCGTCGTTTTTCGTTTCCACTTTTTTATATTTATTGTTGTCTGTATTAATTTTTTATCTTGCACCACTTAAAAAACCAAATGTAATACCGTACATCATTCTAATCAAAGTTTTAAAGTACTGCAAAAATATTTTTGCCGATATTCCGTTTATAAAAATAAAATCTACGTTTATTAACCGTTTAGTAGACAATTCCAAAGTTTGAAACTTTACCTACACTAGCTTTTGCCCGCGGCTCCGCCTGTGTATATGTCGGTTATCGCGGTAAAAAGCCTGCCTTTCCTCTAAAACCAAACTATCTGTATACCAAATTTCATTGAAATCGGGTCAGCGGTTATTATTTCCATATACAAACTTCCACCCGCCTTTTCACATCCTTTAAGGACGATTTCTGGGATAAAAATTGTCCAATGTCCTTTCCTTGGACACGAACTATCACTATACCAAATTTCATCCAGATCGGTTCAGCGCTTTAAGCGTGAAGAGAGGTAACAGACAGAGAGGTAACAGACAGAGAGACACACTTTCGCATTTATAACATTAGTATGGATCAGTATGAATACACCGATTTGAAGATTCCCGTGCGGCTCAAGCCGTAGTAGAAAGGGCACAATTCTTAACAAACTTCATTAATAAATTAGATTCATTTATATTCCGAATGTCATTAAACCATTGGAAGGAAATAGTATGTAATACATTAAAGAATGTTAAATTCTCAAAAAAATGGATTATCATTATTTCTAAGTTAGCTTCGAATCGTAACTATAATTGGCTTTTCTCTCTTCTCAGGTGACGCAAGCAATGCGAGTATCGGCTCTGGTGAGGGTACGGGGGAAGAAGACGATGACACAAACGGCAAAAAGAACCAGAAGAAAAGAGGAATCTTCCCTAAAGTCGCCACCAACATACTGCGGGCGTGGCTATTTCAGCATTTAACGGTAAATACATTTTATTCTCCTGTAGATTTATGAATCACGGTTAGAAGTTTAGTTTATTTAAACTGGCACTTACTAATAGTACTGACTAGGGAAGACCAGCATTAAGCTATGGTTTCTGTATCCCACCATCAAAGCTCCTCCACTAGCTACAAATAGAGGTAAATTTTGACGTCGTAATGTTTTCACCTATTTTAAATAAATTCTAAATATTGTTTTCATTTTGATTTTGTCATGATTTACAACCATAAGAGATATAGATTGATTATGGTATTATATAGCTTTTCGGATTCGGATTTTCCATTCAGATTCGGTATTCCCAAGATTTGTTCAAAGACTATGTTTGTCTATGCATCGAAGACGAATGTTTTGTAGTTCAGTTGCCAATATGATAAGAAGGCCCCATTTTCCGGGCACAGCTCCAAGCTTACAAACTTTCCCATTGGAAAAACCTTAAGTAGATTGATACTCAAGAAACCATAAATATTTACCATAACTAAGAATCTATGCTTTTAAAATGAGTTATTTGGAATCCTGTAAATTAAGGTTAGATAAACTTTAAAACAAGGATAAAGAAATAGATATAGGTATATTTATAGCACGTAATACAACCACAAAATGGCACAGTGAGTAAAATGCCGCCTAACAGTAACTAGTAAACCTTTGTCGCTCAATGAAAAATTTATTGGCGCTGGAAATTTTTAATTGAAAAGCGTCGCGTCCGCAGCCTGGATTGTGGCCCCGTCACGCTCAATGCGCTATTGTGATCCGTTTTTAAAAGTTACCCAACAATGGCTGTATGTGTGTTTGTCTTTTATGGCGCGTTTTTTTTTGTAAATTGCAATTTCCCGCGAACGGAGTTTTGTTTTTTTTGCATTCCTTTTTACGTAGGAGCTGAGTTAATTATTTCGATGTTATTTTAAAGTAAATTTATTTCTTACTTAAAATTTCAATAAACATTACATGTTATAAAGTATAGGATTCATCAGTCACTATAGATAAAGCAGCACAGTTGAAGAGTATTTGTTTTCTCTTTTCTACATATCATCATTCCGAACTAATTTCATATTAATTATTTTTGAAACAAGTATAATATTCATCCACTAAAAAAACGTTAGTCTATCGACATGAGACTGGCGCTGACAGTAGCAACCCCATATTCAACGCTGATTGATGATTTTTTTTAACAAAAAAACTTAAAACATTAGCATAAGACCAGGGCATCAGAGGCGAGACAATCGTGAGTGCACGGCTCAGTGTTGCGTAGTAATTTCTAGAATGGATACACAGGGGTAGACGGGGAGGGTAGGGAGGGGGCGAGAGGGTGCAATTTCATTACCGGTCCGGATCCGCGGCCATAAATCACCAGGGCCGAAGAAGGCGCTCGGTGCGCTCAACGCTGTTCAGGTGACGCTCGCAAAGTCGCCTGAGCCCCGGTATTTCTGTTTCATTCGAAGCGAACCCACTCGAATCCCACTTTCTTTATGACTATGAATTCCGCGAATTGTCAGTACGCTCCCGTTGAGTTACACGAGCAAGTTTTAATTACAATCTTCGGTGAGCCTTTCACAATTAGCTCGCTTACTGAAATATCACATCGCCGATGTCACTAAAAATAAAATGCGTCCTGCACCACTCTCAGCTTAAACTTAAAAAAGTATCCATCGACAATCGAATTAGAGGGCTTTTAGCGCGTTTCGTTTTGGCGCGTTTTTGCGCATCGCTTGTCCGCGCCCATTACCGCTCTCCAAATTACTTATAATTGCTTCGCTTAGCGCTAAGTGCTTTCATTATAGGCTCCCTGTAAAACAGTTCCGGTATAGCTTCTCGCCGATTAACGACAAATATTTTTAAACTACACAAACACTCTTGCATGCGATGACACCATTGAAATGCGGTCGATCATAGGCATTATTTAACGTGGGCGCAAAAAGAGCATTCGACCCATATACCGAGCGTGAAACTGCATAGCTGTCACTTTGACGTTTGTAATATTCATTCGATTACGCGCCGCGGGAAATGGAATGCCGCGTGGTGACAGCCACCACCTGTGCCGCGTGCTGATTGGTCAGTGCCGCAACCCGCGCGTGATACAAATGAATGCTCCCACGTTCGAAATTCGAATCCTTGACCACAAAGGTCGAGTATTGGAACAGTTGGAGTATGGAACGATTGATATGCGATTATACAGTTACATCGGATTGGATCGAATGAAGCGTTTGAATTAATTCTGCAGCCTCGGGCTCCGAGCGCGACGAAAAAGGGAACTGAAATGATCTGGTGGTAACACGAGTCGTGAGTATTGTATGCGAATTTAAATTCAGTGCAGTGCATGCAATATTGGTAACAATCTGAATGGCTGTGACTGCGAGCGTTTTGAATTTTAAAATTGCCAGTGGTATATGTAATAACGGTTACGTTTGGATTTCATAGATTTTAATACGGATATCGTGCACTTTAATTTCCGAGATTGGTTAATTTAAAAAAAGACTGATCCTTGGATAGGGGTTCATTTCAATAATTACACTTTTACTATTAATTGTTAATATTAAACTCTTGAAAAACATTAGTAGGGATAGTATGTAACACATGTTGCATATATACTCAAATCAAAGTCGCTAATCCAAACACGTAACTTCGACTCACATTATCCGTTAATCGTCAAATCCTTACAGACGCTGCAAATCTCACATAACACCACACCTGGAACACGCCCGAAATATTTCTCGAAAGAAAATAATATTGAATAACACCAGTCTTAGTACAAATCCTACCCAGCTGCCTTAAGCCCTTTTGGGGGGGCTAAAAATAATTATAAGTCTGTAATAATCCCGCGACAGGGCGCCTGCCGCGCGACATAACTCTATATTGTTTTTGGTTTCGCCCACTTGATTACGTTCATGATCTTCTGGTAATTTATTACGTCTGTCGCACCGGTAATGACCTTGTTTTGATTACAAACATTATTTTTAATGGCCATGTTAATTTGTTTTTTATTAAAGGTTTGCTAAAATGATTTGTGAAAGACTTGAATTCTTGCAAAATTGCAAAATCTTCTTTGAAACATTTGTGTTGGAGACTAAAACTTTACTATAAAAGTTTTACCAATATATATGTGATATAGTTTCCGTTGTGTCTAAGTAGGTATTATAAACTTCTGACATCAATAGAGATTTTTTTCTAGTTCAAGCAAAAGTGCTTGGCCTGCTGTGAGCCAAGGTTATATTGAATATTTAGTGATGTGTCCCAATATCTTTTACGGTGCAGAATCAGTTAAGAATCGAGGTGGCTCGAATTGATTTGAAATGGCACTTGTTTTCGCTTGGTGTCGTTTGTATATTTGATATATTATCGAAGCTCGAAAGGCAGTCCTTGCCAAATTACACAAGTACTTACATAAAATGAAAATCGACAGATTTTTCTTACAAAAATGTATGAATTAGTTTTTAAATCGTGCGATTAGCTATGCTCCAGCACTTATGGGGTGTCTTGACCACGGTCATACAGGCAACTAATGTAAAATTATAATTTTTTTGCGTTTCACCGAGTGAGTAAAGTTAACGGAGGCAAACCCCCCCCCCCCCCCCCCAATCCCCTCCAAAATAATAATTCTCAAAGACAGTTTGCAACTAACATCTATTATTACTATTATACAAAGAGGGTGGTACTTAAGAAGGGTTGTAGATGTTTTTTTCGTCAATATGTTTCTGAAATTATTGTTTTTCTACCAAGAGTGTATCAAGTATTAGGAGTAATCTAATACGTAATCTAGGTTCATTCCAGTGCGGTGGTTCGCAAAGGGAACATGACACTTTGGTAATTCTATACACCTAGGATAACATCCTGCATTTTATTAGCGCCTGGTACTTTCGTACCGACAGGGTTTTGTGTTAGGGGATGATTATGGCATTTGAATGGTGTGTGTGTGTGTGTGTGTGTGTGTGTGTGTGTATAATATGTACGATTTTTTAATTTTGTGGCAAATATAAAATAGAGTGTTAAATGTAGACATTGCATAGAATTAAGAAAAGAACGTACTACTTCCTAAAAGGCCGGCAACGCGTTTGAGACTCCTGAGTTGCAGACGTTCATGGGCGGCGATAGTCACTTTCCATCAGGTGACTCGTCCGCTCGTCTGCCCCCTCTTACATAAAAAAAAGTTTTTAGAAGCAAACGAATTCTAGGAATTCAATTCCTAAGCAAAGTATCAAGATAAATATACAATAATAAAAAAAAAACACTTTCCAATTTACAACAAAATTTTAGAGTCATATGATATTGTTAATAAGTTATCGATAACTTTATTATGGATGCTTTTAATATCATAAGTAGTGCAGTCATAACTTAAGGTATAAGCCAATAAAAACAAAATACTAGAAAATACCTAAAAACTGACCTGAGGAATAAAAACAATAAATTTAAAAAATATTTTTTTATCTGTATGAGAAAAGATAAATAGCAACTTTGTAATTTGTAAAAAGAACCACATATTAACGAATATAAAGCAACTTTTAAGCTACTACCGTTAAAATGGTACCTTCGCTATTTCATTTGTAGACTCCTTGTACAGAAACCGAATTCTTGGCCGTTTTCCTAAACCATCAATTGCAAATTCCATTTCGCAAGATTCAAATTTCGAAAATCTCAGTTACGAAATAAAAATCTATCCCTTTCTATCACATAGTATAGGTGGATGCAGCCGTCTCTGTTGCTCACTCTATTTCCGGGAAGGACATTTAACGTCGGTGACTTAAAAAGTGGGTAGTTTTCGGAAATCTGTTCAGCGAATGGCCGGAAATGATTTCTGTCTGACGGGGGATGTAAGGATGGATTTAGGTGGACAGCCATGACAATCGTGTGCAGATTAAAAATACTTGTATCTTCAAGCAGAGGGGGTCTGAGGGGTGGGTCTGAGGAATGCGAAGCGTTGAAGGAACACTAGCAATTATTTTGTGTTACATTTCTGCGACTCGCATGTTCTTTTAAAAGGTTAACCGTAAATA